TGTCGGCAGGGCCCAGCCATGTACCTGGCAGGCGCTCATGGAGTACACACTCCCCAAGCCTGGTCCCTGCGGACCACATTCCTCGGAAGGCGTTTCAGCAAAGAGCGAAGTTGGGGGACTGGAGTCAGAACCAGCGGTGAAGCCCAGGTCTACCCAGGGAACTGGGCGACTTCAGGCAGGTGGCTCCCCCTTCTCGGCCTCGGTTTCCTCGTCTGCTAACGTGTCGATGCTAACAGCCGTGCTCCCTGGGCAGGTCCCCGAAAGCACGAAGCTCGTCAAAGGCAACCATGACGATCCCATCGAGCGTGCAGGGAGCATGGATGGGGTGCCAGGCCCAGGGCTCAGCATTTCCCAGGAATTCACTCTTCTGCCCGACCATTATTGCGCCCGTGGAACAGAAGAAGGGACAAGGCATCGGGAGGCTGGACCCGCTGCCCAACACGACATGAGGCTGCCCGAGGAGCAGGGACTGGGCTGCTGGCTCCAGGCAGGACCCGTGTGGGTCTGTCCCTATTCTGCACGGGAGCCTCAAGCCAGCAGCCTGGCCTGCAGCGAGGGTTCAGGCCTCACCGGCACCACGGGGACAGCCCCCTTGTCAGCTGGCTAGCCCTCCACCCGGGGGGAGCCAGAACACGTCAGCACCCCTCCATTCGTGCCTCCTCTCCTCTCCCACCCGCCCCTGGAGTGCAGAACACCGCCTGTGTGGCTTGGGGGCAGCTGCCTCTCCTCTTGCCTTCTGTACAAAGGGAAAGACAAGTAGACGCCAGCCCTCCTTCCCACAGCGTCCTGTCCTCGGATGAGACAATGCTCCCCAGTTGGCTCCCGATGAGCCACAGGTGCCCGGAGCGTTTATGGGCTTCTCCCCCGCACAGGCACGCTCTGTGCTGCTCCCCAGGGGCACTAACAGGAAGGCGCAGCTGGAGGGAGAGGGAGGTCTTCCTCCTGGGTGGTCTCAGGAGGGATTTGGAGACCCGCTGAGCAGGAGGCTCCCCTCGCACCAGACCTAAACCTTCTCAAAGAAGATCTATGATGTCTGTGCCTCACTAGGATGGAAGCAAGCTCACCAGTACAACTACCATCAACATGCCCATTGTATGGGTGTGAAAACTGAGGCCTCTTGAGAGGGGACAGGCTCCATATTCCAGCAGCCACCTAGTGGCTGCAAGATGCTGCTAGGGTCTGGACAAGGATCAGACGCTGTACCTGACTCGGTGCCCCTTCTCCTTTCCTCCCAGAGCGGGCACTGGGGGCTGGGCAGGGGTCACCGCCCTGGAACTCGGCTTGCCCAGGTGCTGTAGGCAGCAGCGGGGCTCACTGAGTTTAGGTGAATGCCAGCAGGAGCCCCCGGGGCAGGGGCCCGGCTGCTTCTACAAGAAACACAGCTGTGGTGTACCAGCAAACGGAGCCCCAAGTCCACGGACTCCCCAACAGGCTCTGCTGGTCTTTCACGGGTGCGGGCATTTAACATGATGGGGTGCTCAGCCTGAGCATCATCTTAGTAGCAGGTACCCCAAAACACGGGGCATGACTTTGCCAGCATGTCAGCACTGGGCCAGGCCCCAAGTTACTCAGGGAGCTCGTGAGAAAAGGCAGCTTCCTGGGCCCAATCCTCAGGGACTCAGCATAGTGGGTCTGGGGTAGGACCTGGGAATCAGTAAGTTCAACATGCCCCCCAGGGGATTCTGAGGGACACTGGGGTCGGAGGGAAAGCAACTGCATAGCCAGGAGCCCATGGTTTCAGAAACGCTGGGCTCACTGTTTCTTATCTCATTCCCACAAAGATCCGGAAATTCATACCCCCCAGTTAGCCATTGTACCCTTTATCCTTCTCTGATGGTCTGAGTGGGTGGTCCTTCCCTGACCCAAGCCACCAGGCTAAACTTGCTTCCTGGGCATGCACAGTGCCTGGACAGAGCAGCCAAATCCCTGGGTGGTGGCATCCATACCCAGCTCTGGGTGCCCCATCTGGGAGGGGGCAGGAGGGGAGGAGACAGGCCCTGAGTCACGCGTACAGCTTCTGATCCTTGCCCAGACCCTGGGTTGCATCTTACGAGCACTAGGCTATCCTCCCCATAGATGAAGAGGGGTCCCCAGGTGGCTGCCAGAACATGCAGCCGCACACCTGTCAGGGGCCTCCTGTCCCGTGAGGATCTTACTGGTAGCATCTGCCTTGTGGCTCATGGTGGGAATTACAAGAGATCATGGCATAAAGCACTGACTCTGGGCTCAGTGGCTGCCCCAAGTTGAACAATTAAACTCTTCACTTGCATGAGCTCATCTGATCCTTCACCACCACCCTGGAAGGTGGAAACTATTATTAACCCCACTTTCCAGATGAGGGACATTAAGTGACTCACTCTGGATCATGTGGGTAGAAACAGTAGAGGTGAGGTTTGAACCTGGTGAGTCTGGCCTCCTGGGCCCAAGCTTTAACCATCAGGCTGTGCCATCTCAATGAGTGCCAAGCCTTACCTGCATTCTGGGGGGAAGCAGAAGTGGAGGAAATAAGGGCACAAAGCCCCAGACTTTGGGGGAGAAAGGTGATGGCAAGCCTGACACTAGGGGAACTGGGTTGGGTGTCACTTAAGAGAAAAACCAAACTTGGGCCACCCCAAGCCAGCAGGGCAGACAGGGCAGAGAAGCACAGACCCATCAAGGTCAAGCTGGAAGATCTAGACAATATCCACAAGTCCAGGAAAATGGTCACTCTGAAGAGAGGAGTCAAATCTACCGTAGCCCCATTTTTACTTCATCTCCAGTATGTTCCTCAGGAGCTTGTAAGTGAAAAAGAAGAGTTGAATGACTCTATTGTCAAGTAAGTTTAGAATTCCTCTATGCTCTATTCCCCATCAGGAAATTCACAACGGACGTTTGCAAAATAAAGGTTCTGAGAAGTCCTGCAGAGAAACCTGCTTAGTTTATCCAACCTGGCCTTTCTCACACTTAACTGATCATGAATGCTTCCTTTCCCCCAGGACACCCATCGACACTTCATGGGACACAGTTTGAGAAGTTCTGGCATACAAGAGGAATTGCACACTTTGTCTATAAATAATCATCTGAAAATAATAAATCTTTTCAACTTTGTGGACCACAGAGTCTCTGTCACGACTACTTAACCCTGCTGTGATAACACAAAAGCAGGCCTAGACAATACGTAAATGAGTGAGTGTGGCTGTGTACTAATAAAACTTTATTGACACCAAAACGTGAATTTCATATTATTTTACATGTCATGAGACGGTCTTCTTCTTTTGATGTTCCTCCCCCATTTAAAAATGTGAAAACTATTTTCAGCTCACAGGCCACAGAAAAACAGGATGCAGGCTGAATTTGCCCCTTTCAGGAATTTATCCCAGAGCTACATTCAAGTGGACAACGACGTGTGCACTGAGGTTTTCCACTGCAGCCGTGTTTGTAAGAGCAAAGGACCAGAAAACACCTACACGTCCTTCCCGGGGGGGCGTGGATAAGTCAGGAGCAGTAATAACAACACCAACACCATTAATAACAGAAGCAACAGCCCTGGTTCAGGGTGTGTTTCCTGGGCATCGTGTCTAGACTCAGCCTCTGTTTCTCAACGCATGGCCCGGGACCAGCCGCCTCCATGGCAGCCTCCCCTCCACTCCAGACCTGTTGAATCAGAACCTGCATTTTAATGAGATGCCCGGGCGATTCCTATGCACACTAAGGCACTGTTTTAAAACTCCTTCTGTATTAATGCCCCCTACGGCCCTGTGTGTTGGAGACGAGGAGGCTCTGGAAGGTTAGGGAATTTGTCCAAAGTCACACGGCGAATGAGTGGCAGGCTACATTCACTCCGCACGTATGCGAAAACACAACAGCCCCCGAGCAAAGAGGGCATCTCGTCCACGGCTGCAAAGGGCCAACCTTCAAGGTAAGTTGTCAGGTGAAAAAAAAAAAGCAAGGCAGACAACACCATATACACTATGTCACTACTTGCGGGAAGAATAAAATAAAAGCAAAGCAGAATCTACGTGCAGTTGTTTAAACACCCAGAGCGCATTTCTGAAAAGACAGCCAGGAACGTGGAAACAGCAGGTGCCCCCGGGATGGAAGTGAGCAGCTGAGGCGGCGGCCCCGGGGAGAGCTGCACCCTTGCACGCATCTGTAACTTGCCTTTTAAGCCACTGGTAAGTATTACCTATTCTAAAGTCAGTGTGTTTCTAGTTTGGGTTTTTTTTCCTGAAAGCTGGTGTAAGGAAGAAGCTACCCACTCCAAAGCGATCCCCCACTTAATAAGAAGCACGCTTTGGAGGCAGGCGTGCGTGCAAGCAGTCCCACCCTGGTTCCCACTCGCCTTCTGGCCACCCTTGTCAGAGCAGGCGGATGCCCGGCAGAGAGTGAGTGGGAGGCACAGGGAGACGCAGGCCAACAGTGGACTTTCCAAATATTTGGGACTCAGAACCACATCTGGGGTCACTTGGGAGGGGCTTCGTGCCTTCCTTGCACCCGTGTCGTGGTCCTTAACCAGGGGCAGTTTTGCTCTGCAGGGAACATTTGGTAACATCCGGAGACATTTTTGGGAGATGCTACTGGCCCCGGTGGGTAGAGGCCAGGGCTGCTGTTAGACATCCTGCCACGCACGGGACACATGCCCTATGTGTCCAGCCTGGGGTGCCTGGGTCAGCACGTCTCAGATGGCCATGTGTTCCGCCATCACCTGGGGCCCCGGTTGAAGTGCTGGTTCTAACGTAGCAGGCCTGCATTTCCAAGAGGATGCCAACCCCACTGGTGAGGGCCTCACTCTGCACAATCAGGCCTCGCCCAACCCGGCTACGGCCAACTGTGTAATCTTCTCTTGCAAAGGGGGTAGGTGCTACTTTGGCTTGGGATCAAAAGGCTGGACAGTGGGTACTGGCTGGTGGGGGCTGGGGGGCCCTGTTTTGATGGAAACAAGCACGAGCTTGCTGAGCTCCTATGCGAACCCAAGAGCACAGGCTGAGTCGGACCCAGTGGGGTGGTGGCCGGAGACCTACCGTCCAAGGTCTCCACGCAGAGCTGCAGGCCCAGATTGTGCCGTGGGTTGACCACCCAGTGATTGCTGGTGGCAGTGATGTCGAACACCAGCCAGCCCTCCTCCGAGGCCCAGAGGGTGCGGCTGTCCAGCAGGAACAGGTCTGACTCCCTGCAAGAGAGGAGGGGAGACACAGGCCCCAGGTCAGCAGGTCATGGCTCCATCACCCCGTCACCAGCCAGCCGCTGTTGGAGAGAAGAACCATGTGGAGTAGGGGAGGTAGGAGGAGGGCCACCAGGCCCCCAAATGTGGGTGCAGCAGAGCAAGACCCAGGCCTGGAGACCTCTTAGTAGCTGTGATGGGAAAAGGGAGTGTGTTAGTGGCAAAAAGAGATCCACACAGGGGACAAGGAGCTGCTCCAAAGCAAACTCACCCTTCACACTTGTTAGGGGGGCACACCAATGGGATAGGGGGACAGGAAGGTAGGAATTTACAGCCTCTGTGTTGCTGGGAGTCTCAGGGAACAGAAGCCCACATTTGTTAGATTACTCACCATGTGCCAGGCACCACCCCAAATATTCTACACACATCATCTCATTCAACTCTCACGACCCTACAGTGTAGGGATATTATCATCTCCACTGGCTATGGTAAGACCATGACTTGCCCCAGGTCATTTAGCTAGGAAGTTACTGAGTTGGGGTGTGAGCTCAGGTAACTGAGCACGAGTGCAGATGCTCTTCATTTCCATGCCATGCAACTTCTTCATAAGTCCACCAAGTATTAGGAGGTGAACTCCTAGACTGACATTATTAATAGAGATAAGCCTTTAATCCTCTCTTCCTCACATTTTGCAGTAGCAAAATGGGTAAAACGACAACTGATATTGTAGTGGACGGACAATGGATGGGTAGGTGGATGGATGGAAGGGTGGATAGATGGGTGGATAGATGCATGCATGCATGGATGGATGGGTGGATGGGTGGGTGGATGGATGGGTGGGTGGATGAGAGGATGGATGAGTGGATGGATGGATGGATGGATGGATGGATGGATGGATGGATGGATAGGTGGATGGATGGATGGGTGGGTGGATGGGTGGATGGAAGAATGGATGGGTGAATGGGTAGTTGGATGGGTGGATGGATTGGAGAGTAGATAGGTTGGTGAATTTTTACCTCTGGTAAAAGATAGCAGAATTCTAGTATACAAGGTCTCATAACATCTTGGGCAGTTTTACTTATAAACATTCAAAGTTTCAATATTTTGAGTCCCTCAATAATCAGTTAAAATATTTGAGCCCCCCACATTGTGCCAGACACTGGGGTACAATGGTGAACAACACCTAACCAGCCCCTGCCCTGGGGCATTGACAATCTCCATCCCATCATACCTGGAGTGATCTAATTTTCCTGGGAATTAAGGTGAATTTTCTCTGACTATTTATGGAGCACTTACCGTGTGTCAGGCTCTGGGTTGAAATGCCTGACCAGCGTTATGTCAGCACTGAGTCCTTACAACAACTCTGTGAGGTGGATAATATTACCTGGGCCATTGTGCAGACCCCAAAACTGAGGCTCAGAAAGGCACAGTTGTTTGCCTGGGGTTATTAGGGGTCCCTGTGTGCTAAGACAGAGCCAAGGCAGGACTGAAATCCAATGAGACGGCCTGTAAGCCCAAGCTTGCAACCACATATGAACACAGTTCTTCTGGACACTATCTTTGCTCAGGTGTGACTATCATCATTTCAGAGCCTTTGGCAAATCAAACTCATTGTAATATAAGCCATTAAGACATCGGCTGGAGCCGAGGAGCAGATGCCCCCTTAGATGAGGCACATATCTCTTGTTGGCCCCCATCTCTGATTCTCCTATCACCAGTCATCCCCATTCATCTCTGTGGCCTGGAGACTCCACGTTTGTGAGGTTGGCGAATTGTAATTCTGCTGCATGCCATAACACACTGACGTTTACCAGTCACCTTCATGTGTACAAGACTTGTGAGAAGGCACGCAGAAAATAAATCAGTAATTTTAGCCAGTGTCTCAAATCTCCTTGAACGCAGAACCCACTGGAGTTGTATGGGGAGAGTCACGGGTCCTCAGAGGGGCGTACACAGGGCTGGAGAACCAGCCTCAGATAGAGCAGGAGCCAAGGCAGGTGTGAGGATGCAGGGCTGTCTCATCAAGCACAGCTATCGAAGGCAGGAACTTGGGTTCCATTTCTCTCTAGGCATCGCTCCATCCCAAAGCCTGAGAGCAGAGAACCTAGCTGGCTTAGTCAAGGGGGTGCCCAGCCCTTGGCCATGGGAGGGCAGGGATGGGACAGCATCACCGGGACCGTAAGATCGAAAGAGGGGTTATCCGCATCCACGTCCCTGAAAATCTCACTTTAGGTGATATTCAACAATGGCCAGAACCTGACTGAGAAAATGCCGAATTATATTACGCAATGTGTGCAAATGAACCATGACTGGGGATCACCTAGCCAACAAAACGTAGCTGCAGCACAAGACAGTGCGTTTTCTCCTCGCCAGCCCCTCTGAGCTCACACCCCTCTCCAGCACGAAGAGATGATAGAAGATGATAGAAGCAACAATGGCTTTTTAGAGCCACAGAGGATACCGAAGACCCTAACTTGGACTGTCCTGTCCCAACGGAATAATAACGAGACGGTCTTTCACGACCACCTCTCTTCCACTTCTTCCCTGGGCCCCTGGACAGGCAGTTCCAGAACTGGCTTGGGGGATGTCTGCACAGATTTTCAACTTACAAACAAGAGTTTCCTGCTGTCCCCGTCTCCAGTTTGCCCTGATGACTGCCCTGGCTATGGAGCGCCGCAGTCAGCAGTCCACAACGAACAGCAGAGAAGAAACGCCACTCCAAATCCAAACAGCTCCCCCACTCAGACAGGCTCCCTGGGCCCTCGTAGGAAGCGTCCACACCACAGCACAGAAGTCGCCAATCTGGGTGGTGACTTTGCTGGAAAATGTTATTTGCAGAAAAATGTGACCAGATATCTGGATAAGCCCTTATGGGCAGTAAAACAACGAACAGTAACTTGGGGCCCTCGAACAGTGAACGTCTTGCCAAATGATACCAAACGTTCTTATTACCGGCTCGCCTTGACTTATCCCGTGAATCAGCGGGAACATACCAACTCCCCTCCCCCTGGCCTCGGTCTGGGTCTGTTCTGGGCCTGCTTGGAAGGAGCAGAGGCGCATTCGAAGGCACCGGGGCAGGAGAGCCTTGGAGAGGCGGGAAGAGCGGGATACTAAAACGGGCTTTGCTTCTGCCCCGAAGGTCTGGGCATGAGGTTGGCCCACATGAAGAGGACAATGTAGAAATGACTCTGCAAACCAAGTCCACGGGGACAGGTGGGAGAGTGGGCTCTTCTAGCTGCCACCTTGAGCATCTCATTAGAGCACAATGGTTCTTATACAGGGGAGGACATCTGTGACATGTTATTTACCTTGAACATGCTGGCTTCCCTGACCCAGCCCGGGCGCGAGCAGAGGCGGGAAAGGCTCAGGGTGATGGTCCCCCAAGGAGCCCGACAGCACTCCCCCACCCTCAGCCCTGCTGGAACTCCAAGTTCTTCCCTTGTGTCAATTCTCCAGGGTCCCCAACGGTAAGACTGTTGTTCCCATTTTACAGATGAGGATGGGGGGCTCCAGGGAAGTGAAGCCAACTGTCTACGCTCAGTGACCTTGTAAGGGACAGAACCGGGCACAGCATCGGAAGTCTGACCCCAGAACTTGAGCACGTGAGCCCTGTCACTTCCTTAACTCAGCTCTCACCAAAGGACAAGAGACACAGGAGGTGGTTGGATCCTACATGATGCCTATTACTGTCACCATGGTGTGTGGAGCAGAGAAAATACTAGATAGGTATGAGATCTGGGGGGATGGGGAAGAGAGGAGAGTAGGTTGAGCCAGCTGATTCCTGGGCCTCAGTTTCCTCCTCTGTAAAATGGGGATAATGCCACCTTCTTCAGCAAGTGCGGAGACCCAAGGGAAGACCAGCTAGGCAGCAAACTCTCAAGGTTCCCTGGGGCATCTCTAGAGTTTTCCCCGGTGCACATTCCCTGCTAGATCTGTTTGGGCCCCCATGTTATGTGACCTCCCCAAAACCCAAGAGTCAATAGTCAATAGACTACCTATCCATTCAAAGAATGTTCACTTTGACTCCAAAGTTCATCTGACAAGTATACTAGGATGTTCAGAGTCATAGACTTTCTGCAAATAGGGCCACCCGCAATTCCTCCCACCTCGGTACACACAGGCAGCTCTGCCATAAATCAGTGGAGTCTGTTCCCCACCTCTGAAGTCCGGGCTGACCTTGCACCTTGCTGTGACCAGTAGGACGCAGTGGAAGTGAGGCCCAGCTCTGTCCGAGGCTTAGCAGTTCCGTTTTGGCTCTCTGGGAAGCTAGCCATGGATCAAGAAATCGGACTGCTGTGCTATAGAGAGAGACTGCATGGCAGGGGGCAGAGACCATGGGGCAAGAGGGTCTAGCAAAGAGAGAGACAGAAACCAAGCCAGCCCCCAGCTGAGCCGCGAGCTTCATCAGTGACCACGGCAGACACCATAGAAAGTACAAGAACCACCCAGCTGAGCCCTGCCCAAATTCCTGAGCAACAAAATGACTGTCGATTTACACTGTTGTGGGTAGTTTGTCCATCACAGAGACAGAACCCAAACCATAGTTGTACTGTTTATTGCAGAAAAACTGAAAACCATCTACTAAGAGACACGGGTAAGACATGGTGGTGTGCACAAACTTCCATATAAATCAACACTTCTTGATGAGGGGGAGATAGGGTATCAAGCGAAAAGGTGTTATAAAACAGAATGTATAGCGTGTACATTTCTGGAGAAATACAAAATGCTAAAAAATGGTGAAAAAAAGAAATAGAAAATTTCAGCCACACAACATGCATTAAGAATTGAAATAGAAATGAAAAGCCTTTCTCACCCCCCCCATTCCTAAATGGCTTTGTACTTTGTTTTTACCAAAATCACCAAATTATCAACAGACAATTCCTGCCTATACAAATTGGTCAAGAAAATGGGAGAGGACAAGGTGGGAAAAGCTAGTCCACCACGGCCTCCAACAACGGACAAGGCCAATGTGAATAGACATCTCTATAAAGATATACGAATGGCCAGTG